TACAGAGTTCCGATTGCTATACATTCTCGCCAGTGGTCTGTTTTCTGATTTCAGGGATTCATTTGTTTATTTTTCATCATAGCCGTCCTGTTGTGTTTTTGTTTTTGTGTTTTTGTTTTTGTTTTTGTTTTTTCTGCTATCGAGGATCGAACTCAGGTCCTTGCACTTGCGAGGCAGGCGGCAGAACCACTGAGCTAAATCCCCGGCCCCGTCCTGGTGTTTTGCCTGCTTTATGTCTTCCCTGCTCTAGCTCGACAGACTGACCTGCTTGAAGTTTAAGATTGCGCCTTGATCCTGGCAATATGGTGTCAAATTTAATGTACAGGCTGAACGTGAATCCTGTCCTTTCTATTTTTGATATGATCTTGAGCATGTTGTACGGCTTCTCTGAGCCCGATTCCTTCGTCTGTAAAATGGGAGCCTCTAGACTGTTGAAGGGAGAAAATGAGAATCGACCACACTTGGGCGATGGTAGTTTTTTGGGATTGGTTTGCTGTAGTGATCATGACCATGACATCTTTATTGCTCAGGGTCCAGTGACTGTTGATTGAGCGTTTTTTAAATAAATCAACAAGCTTTTTGGTATTGCTCAATTAGCCCTGTTTTTATTCTCCACCCACTGTTCCCCCGTCTCCTGACAGCAGCCTTACAAATTGATCGCTCCCGTCATCAGCCAGAGAAAAAGATCGATGCGAATGCTTGCCTAGCAGAACATGCCATGAAAGCTATCGTGTGCGTCTGGGATGGAGATAGGATGAGCCTCAGAGAGAGCAGCAAGCTTGTGTTCTACAAAGGGAGGAGGGAATGAAAGAGCTTTGGCTTATTTGAGATGAGAATTACAAACAGTCAGAAGCAGATGAGTCCCCGAAGCTCCCTTGCTTGCGGTCTGGAGAGGGAAAGGGCTGTCCTGCCCACTCTTGAAGGTGGTGAGAAGGGCCCAAGCATCGACCCTTGGGTTCCAAGGGCCGGGATGGTGGCCTAGTGTCTTCCTGTTGTTCCAGTGAGGGTGGCTGTGTTGGGTCGGCTTCCTTGGGGGCAGCTGCTGGTCAGCTTGCTTTGGCTCCTGTGGATATCTCTAGAATCTGGCTCTTGCTCCACCCCGGCCATACATGCCTTCCCTCTGTTCTTTAAACATACCAGGTTCATTTCTCTCTTCTCCAACCACCAGACTTTTGCACTTGCTATTTCCTTTGCCTGGTACAACGCAGTCTTTCCGGAGGCCTTCATACCGGCTCTCCTCCAACCTCAGCTCTCAGAGAGGCCACCCCCATTCCTGGCTAAAGCGGCAGCCCCCACATGTACCCCACCATTCGTTGTGGTCCATCCCTGCCCAATTTGTCTTGCTTTGCTTTTTAATATTTTTTAATGGAAATATTTCCAAATAAAATCAGAAAGCACTCATGTACCTATCTCTCAGATCTGATAAGCTGCCAGTATTTTGCCATGCTTTCCTATTCCAAATCCTCCTTTATTGAGGTAGAACTTACATGTGATAGATTCTGACATTTTAAGTGCCTGGTCTGTGGCCACCACCACCACCACCACCAAAGGTGTAGAATTTCCCATCACCCGTCTCTCTCAATGTGCTGTGTTGTTCTTCCTAATGATTTCTTGCCATTATCCAGAATCACCTCGCGGGTGTATATTTTTAATCAGTTTGTTATCTCTCTCCTCTACTGGAGCATGCATTCTTTGAGGGCAGGAAGTGTGTCTCATACACAGATGTGTCTGTCCCTGGCATATAGTGGGCCAGCAGTCCGTTTAACAGACTAAGATAATGTATTCGTCGTATGGTGTGCACATGTTGATGTAAGTGTGTGGGGTTGCCTCTGCAGATATAGCTGGTGGGTCAAAGGACAACTGCCTTTTTGTTATAAAAAAGACATGTACCTCTGGACATGGTGGTACACGCCTGTGACCAGCACTCTGTTCAAGTTTGAGCCTGGTTGGAGCAACTTAGCAAGACCCTGTCTCAAAAATAAAAAGGGCTGCAGACCAGGGATTTAGTTCAGTGGTGACCACCTGTCTTGTAAGCGCAAGGTCTCAAGTTCGATCCCCAGTACCAAAAAAGAAAAGAAAAACAAAAAGGGCTAGGGGTATAGTTCAGTGTGAAGGTCCTAAGTTCTGTCCCTAGTACCCCCCCACAACAATAACTACAAGAAACCCCTCTAACCCCCCTTTCCCTTCTCCTGCCCTGTAACCATCTGGTGTCCCTCAGTCTTGGTGCGCTTGTCTCTTTGAGCTGGGTAACTGTAGGGCCACTGTGGGCCAGGTGGGAGGTGGAGCAGCCTCTCTGGCCTCTGTGCACTAGTAGATGCCTGTAGCACCCCCACCCAGCTGTTGTGACTCATGGTGTCTTCAGACTTTGCCCAGTGCCCTCTAGGAGCAAAATCCCTCCCAGTGGGCCCAGAAGCACCTCGTGTGCTGGTCTCTATGTGTAAGCTACATGCTGGTCCGTATAGGTAAGCTAATTCCTTGCCAAACTGTTTCTTAGCCGGCCCATCACTAAATAAAATACCCTCAGTGATCCTAGATTTGTAGGATCTGTGTTTGTATCCTGTTTATGCAGCTCAACTAACTGCATTATAGTCTTCCCCCACCCCTGCCCCATAAAGCTGCATCAGGAGAGAAGCTGGTGGACTTTCGAAGGAGGGAAGTGTCACTTTGATTTGTAACCTGTCATGGTGAGCACGCTGTCTGATTTGTATCCTGGAAAGGGCAAAGTCCAGGAGAATGCAGATGGCTTCTCCATGGCCTGGGCTCCTGCAGAATTCCCAGCCATGCTTGCCTGAGGATCATGTGCCTTCAGGGGCAGACCTAAGGATGCTGCCTCTTCTAGGTCCCTGAGTACCAGCAGGAACTCTCTAGCAGCTATGCAAAGGGATCTAAAATTGTTTTATTTGCTCAGGATACTGAGTTGCCATCCCTGTCTTGGAAATTATATGTCCAGGACAGGGTGGCAGGAACCCAAAGGGGTGAAGGTGAACAGATGTGGCATAGTGATAGGAAGGGACAGGTCTCATCTAATGGGCACTGCCTGATGATAAAATAAAAATACTCAGTGATGCCTGTTAAGGCGCAGTAAGTCAGACTTTATTCAGGACCATAGTGATAGAGGGGCCATGGTGATGGGGTTTTGTAGACATTGGGTTCAACTTCCGGGTGATCAGACATCATCTGACTTCAGATATGAAGGGTGATCAGTATGAAGGGTGGGAAGTTCTTGTTAAATGAATTTAGAAGTGTTCTTTACTAAAACTGGGTCTTGCAAGGCAGTGTAAGATGGGCTGAGAAATTTTAGGAGCCTGAGTAAAGTTTGGCCAAGCAAAGAATCCTTGTGGAACATGAGCCCAGCATTACCAAATCTTCCTGTTTTTCACACAAGGCAAGAAATACAGATTTTTTAAAAGTGCAAAATATCTTGATTCTTGGGTTACATCATAATTAGCAAGTAATTATCTGTTTAAACATGGTACGGGCCAAACAACACACCCACAAGCAGCCGGTTTCCAACCTTGAGTTAATGTGCAAGGTTGTTTCTTGTTCACTTGGGCTCTAGCTTGTACAGGAATCGCCGGTTTTTATGTTCATCCTGTCGACGAATGTTCATTGAGTACATGTAAGGTGCCAAGCACTGTTCTAGAGCTGCCACTCAGCGTGAACTTGCAGCTATGGATGACACCAAAAGGGATAGGGGGGATGAAGTGATGATGGATGGGTGGATGAGTGGGTAGATGGGAGGATGGGTAAATGAAGGGATGGTTGGATATAGATCCTACCTTTAAGATACTGAAATTCTAGATGAAATACTGTGATGTCTAGAAATTACAACAGAATAATACATGAAGTTGAATGACAGAATAGGTGAACTGAGAATGACAGGAAGATAATTTTTGAAGCTGAGTGATGGGAGGTGTTTGGAAGTTCCTTGTACTTTTCTGCCTTCTAAGATGACTGGAAGCTTTCCAAGCTAGGAATGTTTGTTTTCATGTCCTTATCACCTAGAGATATATTCTGAAGGATCTGTAGACAAAATGACCTCATGTTGGGGACTTAACAATGTTCAGCAAAAGTTTTTTAAAAGTAGGAGAATAGGTAAAAACATCATTTGGCAGAATTTGTTGCTCATTATTACAACTGGATGATGAGGATATGGATATCAGTTATATGAGCCTCTTTAGTTGAAGGGGTTTGAATTTTCTATAGGTTTTTTTTTTTTTTTTTTTTTTTTAAAGAAGAAGGCAAGGCTCCTGTTTTGTAGCCACTTTGGCGGTCCGGAGTCCGACACTTAGGTGCTTTTGTGGCCCTTCCACACGTGTGGTAGCGCATATGTTGAGAGTACGGGTACTGTTCAACAAGGGAGGAGGTCACGTGATATACGTTGCCATGGTGAAACAAGAAGTGTGGGCTCTGCTGTGGGCTACAGGGTGAGAACAGCTTCTCACCCACTAGCTTCTCTGCAAGGTGTCCTGCCTCCCAGGACCTGTCTTCAGGTATCCTCTTGGGAGGCAGAATAATACAGAGGTTAGGGTATCTGGATTCAGCTTTCCTGCATGCAGAGGCCCACTGTACTGCTTTCTAGTCGTGTGGACTTGGACATGTTACTTAAGCCCTCTGAACCTCAGTTTCCTTGTTATTAAATGAGATTAATATGAATACTGTACCTCATGGACTCCCTATGAAAAGTAAATTACTTACTGCATATAAAGTGCTTAGTGTAGCATATGGCATTTTACATTTTTTAAATTATCAATGCTTTTGCTGTTATTGTTGTTGCTGCTGCTCCCGCTAAGCATTTTGAGGGCAGAAAAAACTTTCTGAGGTAGACTGAAGAAAATAATTGAAGGCAGAATCTGAAAGAAGTCAAAGAAAGAAGCACCCACTGTCAGCTGATCCACCTACAGCAACTCATTGTGAGCTGCTGGAGTCCATTTCCTGCATGGTGGGCGCAAAGGAATAAAAGAAGAAAGCAGATTTCTGACCATTTGCTTCCTCTACAGAATGAAGTGGAGCTTGGGGAGCTGCTTCTGTCCCTGAATTATCTCCCAAGTGCTGGGAGGCTGAACGTTGACATCATTCGAGCCAAGCAACTTCTGCAGACAGATGTGAGCCAAGGCTCAGGTACAGTGCGACCCCCCTCTCCCCTGCTTCTCTAAGGGGACGTCAGTGTTTTGGGGGCCCCAACTTTTCTGTGCCCAGGATGCCATTGATAAGGGTCAGTGAAGGGGAGAAGAAGGAAAATAAGAGATGCTGTATCTCTTAGGATGCAGCAGGTAAACCATGTGATCTCAAGAACCCATTTGAATCAGGGAGTTGGCTGTGACCAGGTACAGTCACTACTGAAATCCACATTTCCTCTGAACACTTGAAGCCTTCAGGAAGTGACCTGTCTTCCCAAACATTGCGCCTGCAGTAGAGACACCATGCTGCACGTGGTGTGTGTGCCATTGCTGCTCATTCTTTTTGCTTGGGTTTTGTTTTGTTTTGTTTTTTGGTACTGAGGATCAAACTTGGGACTCTGCACTCCTGAAGCAGGCAGCAGCACCACTGAGCTAAATCCCTGGCCCTCATAACTGCTCATTCTAATCAGCAAACACGGTGAACACAACCTGAGGGTTTTTGCCAGTTCATTGCACAAGTACCATAAATCTTTATAACTCCTAGAACTGAAAAGACTGTTGTGTTTAGCGTCTATTTTGTAGCAAACCACTTCAAATATTACTTTTAATGAAATGGAGCAGATTCCATATTATCTATATGTAGCTTCTCCCATGACAGCAAAAGATATTGTGAAAACTACCACGGTCACTGGGATTTTTTAGCTCAGTGATGGAAACCCTGATTTCTCTGAGGCCAATGGCCAAAGCAAATTACATTTGCAATAAGTGACTGCTGAATCTGGAAGACGCCTTGCATGCTCAAAAGCCACATTATGAAACATGTTTCAAGGGTTCCAGTGGAAAGAATGGTATAAAGGATGGAGAGGTGGTTCAGACTTAGCACAGTGAGAGAGTCAGTGTGATAAAGTGAATAAGGCTCCTGAAGCCAAACTGCGTGCAACCAAACCTCATTTTGGTTCAGTTTACTATTTGCAAAGAATGTGGCCTTGGGAAGTTCCTATCTGCCTCAATTTCTACATCTCAAAAATTGACATAAAAACTGTATATATCTCACTGAGTTGTGTAAACAAATATGAAGTCAGATAAGGTACATAGCTATAAACTGATACAAAGATGACACAGTTCATCCAGCTCTGCTTTCCTGCATATGGGTCATAGTTGCACTTTGATGATAACGGCTCTCACAGACAGAAAGTCAGGACAGGCTCTGAATCCGGTTCTGCCTCCACCAGCCAGATCTTCAGCAAATCCCTTTTCATCTTGATTTTTCAATTCTCTCATCTACAAAATTATCTTGGTACCCGAAACATGGGAGGAATTCCATAGATAATAGGTAACTTGGGGTTCGGAGAAAGAGATGAGCAAATAAGGAGATGGATAGGAAAATGATGCATACAAAATAGAGTAGATGGATAGACTAAATGGGAGAAGAAATAAAGGAGACAGAAGGAAGACACTTGGACTGTTGAATGGGGGAGTGAATGGATGAGTAATGGTGAAACAGATGGACGGATGGATGGATGGTTAGGCTGTCACGTAGAAGAGAACATGGATGGATGGATGGATGGATGGATGGTGGACTGAATAGGTAAAAGGATACTGAAATGATGATAAAGGTGACCTGACAGTTGGATGGGAAGATGGATAGATGGATGAGTAGATGGATGAATGGATGGATGGACTGAGTGGTGGACGAAAAGTTGGATGGATGAATGAATGATGGAAGGATGTATGAATAAAAGGATGGATGCATTAGGTTGACCTGTCATGATCTCCAGTATTGTGTGATGCTCTGTCCTGTTCTCAGACCCATTTGTGAAAATCCAGCTGGTGCATGGTCTCAAGCTTGTGAAAACCAAGAAGACATCCTTCTTAAGAGGTACAATCGACCCTTTCTACAATGAATCCTTTAGCTTCAAAGTCCCTCAAGAAGAACTAGAAAATGCGAGCCTCGTGTTCACAGGTATGTAGCATCCTAGACCCCGGTGAACCCCAGTAAGGCGTTTCAACTGACTGCCCTAGTGACAGAAGGCATCCAGAGGGAGTTACGTTTAAGAACTTGATATCTGATGTTCGGGTTTGAGTTCACTTACTGTCTATGAATATTGGCAAGACTTATGGATCCATAGAACAATCCAGGGCCTGGGATTTAGCTCAATGGTGCTGCCACCTGCCTGCCTCGCAAGCTCAAGGACCAGAGTTCAATCCCCCGTACAACAACAACAAAAAAAATGTAGCATAGAACAATCCAGTTCTGGTACTAGATTTCCTGGACGTGCCACATGGTAACTGATACCTGTGGCAAGTTACTTAGTGCCTCTGAGCCTAAGTTTCCTCATTCATAAAATACATACAGGAAAAGTTTGCTGTGAAGAGTTAAATGACTTACAAATGTAAATACCCGTACTCATTGTATATTAGCTCAGGTGATGCTGGCGGTGATATGAGGAGGAGGATTCAAGTTGCTTAAGTAGAGGTATATTGTACTATTGTCTTGCAGAAGTTAGTCTGTTTTTCCAGAGTGTAATTTAATCTATTGTTTACAGGTTGTATTAGTTATCTATTGTTGCATAGTAAATCACTGTAAATGTAGTAGCTTAAATCAGCAAGCATTTGTTATCTCACAGTCCCTGCAGCTCAGAGGTGCAGGCCTAGCTTGCCTGGTTCCAGCTGAGTTTCTCAGACAAGGCTGCACTCGTATCTGAAGGCCCAGCCAGGGAAGATCCTTGTTTAAGATCAGTTCCCTACCGACTGTGGGACTGGAAGCCCAGTTCCTTCCTAGTTATTGCCCAATGACCTCCGTGCCCATGTGGACTCCCACAGGGCAACTCATAGCATGGCAGATGGCTCCCATCACAGTGGTCGAGAAAGGGAGCAAGAGAGGGCCAGAAAGAATCCTTTTTGCCCTACTTGTTCATTGGAGCAGCTCACTAGGTTCCACCCACACTCACGGGGAAGGGATTTCTTCAGGACATGAATAGGGAGTGGTAGAGATCAGTGGGAGCCACCTTAGAAACCGCACACAGAGTGGGGCTGCACTTCGTGAAGAAATGGTCATTCTTTCCTGTGTCCTGATCACGGTAGGCCCTTCCCCATCACATTGCTAAGATTCACCATAACCCACCCTGTCAGGTCCGGATCATTATCCTCCAGTTACAGGGCTAGTGACTGAGGCTTGAATCCTAGCAGCCTACCGAAGTCTCAGGCTCGGAGGGTCAGGTTCTGGTCTTTCCAGATCCAAGGTCAAGGGTCTGCTTTTCCTCAGGCATAAGGGAGTGCTGACGTCGGGGATTCAGCCTTGCCCTTGAGGAGAGTTCAGCTGGAGGCCCCAGGTTCCCAAGAGCTGAAAACCCCTTTTACTCGAGGCTTCTCTGCATGAGCTCCTCATTTCTTACCACCACGATTGCACAGGGCCCTCCTTGGGGACCTTCCAAGGCAGGTTGGCCCTGGACTGTCTCGGGGCTGTCACCTGGAGAGCTTATATCCCATCAAGAGCGCCTGCCCTGTGCAGGTGAAAAGATCACAGGCAGGCAAGGCTGCACTTGCCAAAGCTTCAGCCTGGGACAGACACAGGGCTTTCTGGGAACCCTTCAATGGCAGGTAGTGGGGATGTTACCAAACCAAAACAGATCAAGCACAAAACACTTTATTCCTATGTCCCCCCGGGAAGAAAGGACTTCCTGTTGTATGCTTAGAAGGGGAAGGGGCTTAGAGGGCACTGAGAGCCTAGATGGAGTCCTGACACTTTCATATTTTACCCAGAATCTTTTTTCAAGTTTATTGGTACAATTTAGATATACGTAAGGATCACATCATAGGGAATTTGTACCTGTACATGATATATCTTGATTCTTCTTTTTTCCCATTCCTCTCCCCTCCCTTCAACCCCTCTCCCCCTCCTTATTTACAAAAGATTTGTTTCCATTTTCTTTTTTTCTTTTTTTTTTCTTTTCTCTTCCTTCCTTTCCCCACTCACCTCCCTAGTCCCCCTTCCTATTTGAATATTTTCTTCCTATTTCACAATATCTACTATATATTTTGGTCCTTATTTACACTTTCAGTTTCTCGGTATCTTCCCAAAAGAATTCAAAGCATCATGCCACAGCGATATGTGCACGCCCATGTTTATAGCAGCGCAGTTTGTAACAGCTAAATCTTGGAAACAGCCCAAATGCCCATCAACCAATGAATGGATAAAAACAATATGGTTATTTATACAATAGAGTACTACTCAGCCGTAAAGAAAGATAAACTTGAGACATTTTTAGCTAAATGGATGCACCCTGAGGCCATACTCATAGGTGAAATACATTGGACACGCATGTAAATATCGCATTTACCTAAAATTCTATGGCAAAAGCAGCACATGGTTGTTGTAAAGAGAGACGCAGGACAGATGATCTGAAGAGCAGAGGGGTGAGGTGCATGAGCTGGCTTTGTCCCCTGCCCACCTCGGTGGCCTTGGGCAAGATCTGTGTTAAGTTTTCTCAGTGGTAACGTGAGAATGAAAGAATGATTATGCTTTCCTTGAGGTCACCACACATGTAGTGCCGCATACTGGGCCTGGCTCAGAGTAAGCAGCCTCACAGCTTCTAGAAGTTTCTAGAAACCTCTAGAAGTTTTGCTCCTTTCCTCATCTGCTTCCTGTTTCTTCTCCGTGAAGGCACCATCTTTAACGTGCTGGTGCATCTTTCCACACCATTCCTGGGGTGCACAAACATTATCCACAGATAGAGGCTGGATCTTCCCAAAAGCCATTCATGAATTGAGCAAGTACATCTTAAACAGCTTCTCTGGGCCAGATGTGGTTTCCAAGTGCTAGGAACAGCACAAAGAACAGACAGACCGTCTCTCTGACCCAAGGGGGTGCCAGGAACATTCCAAGTGTGTCATACTGACTCTCGCTTTTGTTTAATTAACAGTAACTGTGTCCTGTCCCTCCAGGCCAATACAGAACTAAGACAAGTGGATTCACTCTTTATTTTCAATAACTCTTCAAAACTGTAGCCTGGTGTACTGTGGTAAAAACAAATGATCTCTTGCTTGGGGCTAAGTTGCTGTCTGTACTTGGTGAATTAAAATTTGCCATCACAAAAACAGAACAGTTAAATCTGGATCAAATATCTGAAACAAAAAGGGAAATATCACTGACTATTCTATGTGTTGTTTCCCTTTACCCACATATCCCAAAAGAGTCTGTAAACTCCCAAATATGTAGGAATAAATGTATTAGAGCAGTAGAGGTCAGAAGTTTCAGAAATCTGAATCATTCTTTACCCTTAATACAAATACTAGAAAACAGTTAAGGGTATGAACAAAGATTTAGGTACAAAGATGAATAAAGCAAGGTTGTTTTATAAAATGGAAAACTGAAATCTATTCATTCCCGTGCTCAGCAGTAGGAGACTGGTTGAGAAAAAATTAATGCATTCATTCACAGTACATTAATCATTGGTAAGTGATTAAGTGGAGAAAAATGTTTGTTATACATCATTTAATGCAAATATAATATGGTCATATTAAAAATATTAAATGAAAAATTCCAGAAGTAAACAAAGCACCTTCATATAACTTTTACATAGTATTTCGTGATAACTGTTCTGTTTTATTATTGATTATTGTTGTTAACCTCTTACCATGCTTAATTTATAAGTTAAGCTTTATCATATGTCTGTATATAAGAGAAAGCATACATAGGGTTGATATTATTCCCAGTTTCAAGCATGTGCTGGGGTCTTTGGATGTATCGCTGCAGGTAAGGGGGGACCACTGTATCTATCTATACCTTTATACTCTGCTGTGCCCCGATAGTTCTGATGGTCAGTGGGGGTTCAGAAGCACAGCTCTGAGCAGGAATCCAAGCTGACTGGCATTTAACTTAGAGGATGCTGGCTGGAATAATAAAAGAAATGGGGCTGGGCTGATGCAGATCTAGGCAAAGCTGCAATTCTCCTGAGTGCAAACCCACAAGGTTCTCCTTGCTTTACTCCAGGCTGAGGATCCAAAACCCAGCCCATTCTTGTGTTTCCAAACACTGCCTAACAAAAGTCAGGTTGATCTGCAATTTAAGCATTTGCAAGAATCCCTGGGAAAAGCCTGTAATTAGCTGCTGGGCCCAGCTTTCTGAGCAGTTCCCTTTCTGTGTGGGAGGAGGAGTCTTCTGCAGTTTCCAATCAGGTGTAGCTGAAGTCTAAGAAAGAAAAGAGAGGAAAATGGCTTTTTAGTCCCCGAGAAAGCCGCACACGGTCCAGAGGTCTTCTGGGAAATTCAGAAAGGTTTACTGAGGTGCTCGGCCATTACTGGAAGTAAGAAAAAAGAAAGGAAAGGAGGGAAGGAGAGAAGGAGGGAGGAAAGAAGAAAGGAAGAGAGGGCAGGCAATTCATGGGCAATTCTCCAAAAAATTAGAAATAGAAATAGAAATAGAAATAGAAAAAATAGAAATAGAAATCAAGCAACTCCACTTCTAGGTATATACCAGAAGACAGTGAAAAGCAGAGACTTGTTTTTATTCACTAGTATTCCCAGTAGCATTATTCACAGTAGCTAAAATACAGAAACAAACCAAATGTCCAACAGTGGACGAACAGAAACAGGAATAAAGCTGGAGTACCCACATGCAAAGAAACAGTAAGCAGCCTTAATAAGGAAGGCCCTTCTGACACCGTCCACAGCTTGGATGAACCCTGAAGAGACACTAAGTGAAACAAGCCAGTCAGAAAGGACAAACGTTGAGCGATTCCCTTCATAGGGTGCCTGGAGTAGTTAGAATCACAGAGAGCAGGCTGTAGGCTCTCGGGCCGAGAGTCAGGTGCGCAGGGATTGAACTGTTTTATGGCTCAGAGTTTCAGTTTGGGAAGGCACGTAAAGTTCTGAAGGCGGACGGGCGGTGACATTTGCCTAACAGTGTGAACTAAATTGTGCACCTAAAAGTAGGTCGAGTGGTGCCTTTCACGTGTACTTCAC